TTCCTTCCTTCCTTCCTTCCTTCCTTCCTTCCTTCCTTCCTTCCTTCCTACTTCCTTCTGTCCCTCCCTCCTTCCTTCCTTCCTTCTTTCCTTCCTTCCAGTTGGGAGGGTCAGCATGCAGGACCTGGATTTAGATCCCATCTCTCTCATACTTACTATCTGTTTAACACTTGGGCAAGTCACTTAACCTCCCTAAGTGTCCATTTCTTCATCTGTAAAGTAAAGGGAGAATCTTTCTAGCTCTGGATGTATGAACCCATTAAACAATGCATACACAAGCAGAACTAGGAGAATCTTGTACATAGTAACAGCAATATTGTGCAATGATCAACTGTGAATGACTTAGCTATTCTCAGCAATGCAATGATCCAAGACAATCCCAAAGGACTTGTGATGAAAAAGGCTATTCACCACCAGAGAAAGAACCCATGGAGTCTGAATGCAGATCAAAGGGTGTTTTTTTCTTTATTTTTCTTGGGGTGGTTTTTTTGTTGTTGTTCTGTGTTTTCTTTCACCCTATAACTAATATGGAAATGACTGTACATGTATAACCTATATCAAATTGATTGCCTTCTCAATGAAGGGGGAGGGAGAGAATTTGGAAATTAAAATGTTAAAAAATGAATGTTCCAAAATTGTTTTTACATGTAATTGGGGGAAAATTAAATAAATATATACTTAAAACAATGTATACAGAGAAGTAAATAAAATGTAAATTAATTTTGGGACAGGAGAGGTAACTGAATGGAACAGAAGAGGCCTCACATGCAAGGTAGCTCCCAAGCCTCAGCTGGTTCTTGAAGGAAGCTAGGGATTCTTAAAAGCAGACATTAAAGAATGGAGAGCATTCCAGATGTGGAAGACAGATTTTGTCAAGACTCAGAGTCAGGAGAAGGAATGTTGAATTCAGTAAAAAAACAGAAGTCAGATTAGCTGCATGTAGGCTCCTAGAGGTCAATGAATGACTTTGTTTTCCACTTTATTGGAGACCGCATGGTATAGTAGAAAGAGTCAGTGCAGATCAGAAGACTTGGATTCTGGCCTTGACTCCGTGATTTATTGGCAATGTAACTGTGGCTAAGTCACTTTAATAATAGCTAGCATTTGTATGGGACAGCTAGGTGGTACAGTAGATAGAGAACCTGACCTGGAGGCAGGAAGATTCTTCTTTGTGAGTTCAAATCTGGCCTCACACACTTACTTGCTGTGTGACCCTGGGCAAGTCACTTAATCCCTATTTCCCTACTCTCCTCATCTATAAAATGGGGACACACTGGAGAAGGAAATGGCAAATCACTCCAGTATCTTTGCCGAGAAAATCCCATGGAAATAGTTCATGGAGTCATGGAGAGTCCAGACATGACTGAACAATAACAACAAAGCATTTGTATAGCACATGTTAAGATTCACAAGATGCTTTACAAATATCCTCTCATTTGATCTTCACAACAACTCTGGGAGGTAGGTTATCATCCCCAGATGAAGAAATGAGGCTGGCAGAGGTTGAGTGACCGGCTAAAGGTCACACATATAATATCTAGCAAGTATCTGCGGTTGGATTTGAACTCAGGTCTTCCTGACTCTAGGACCAACCCTCTATCAACTCTGCCCCCTAGCTGTCTCTGTAGGCTTTTCACTTTCCCCATGTATTTATTGTTAAGTTGTTTCAGTTGTGCTGACTCTTTGTGACCCCATTTGAGGTTTTCTTGGCAAAGATATTGGAGCGGTTTGCCATTTTCTTCTCTAGTTCTTTTTACAGATGAGGAAACTGAGACAAACAGGGTGAAGTGACTTGTGTCACATAGCTAGTAAGTGTCTAAGGCCGGATTTGAACTCAGAATCTTCCTGACTTCAGACTCAGCAATCTATCCACTGCCCCACCCAGCTGCCCCTCCCCATGTAATGGGGCTAATAAAATGATCACTACTTACCTCATAGTAATGTTGTGAGGAAAGTTCTTGTAAACTCAGGAGTTCTACGTAAAAGGTAAGTTATTATTATTATTTGTTACTTCTTAAGTACCATGGCTTACACAGTGGGAATCCATAGGACAAAATAATCAGCACACAATGCTAGTTGCCTGCTTACTGGATCGGTTAAATACAACAGATTCATTAAAAATCCCCACAGTGTCCTGAAAATACTGATGATATCACTGAAGAAGAAATCAATTAAAACCTTTGACAAGTACAAACTTGGGATAGAGCACAAAATATCAACTAATTCTTGACTTCACCCCCTCATTCTCATCCTTATTGAATTGCCAGTCAGTCAAAAGCATGCATTGAGCACCACAGTATACAGGATACTCATAAGAGTTATAAAGGAGGAGAAAACACATGTTCTTCCCTTCAAGGAATTCATAATATTAACCAATAGCTTATAATACAACTACCATTATTACCTACATTCCCCCCTACCCCTAAGCATTTCTTCCTCCTTCATTTTGAGGAATAAGTGAGGTTTTCTTTCTGTTTAGTTTCTCCCAGTGGGCTACCAGCAGCAAATAGTTCTAAACCTCTGTTAGCTTGGTAGGAAAAGTTGAAGAACTCCTATTTAATTAAGAACTCATAGTGGAAAGTAAACAGTTTTTAACTACTGTTCACACCTCTTCCTCTGCTCTTAGCTAAGCTTCAAAGGCTCTGCTCTGCAGTGAACAGCTGCTACCTCAGGAGAAAAATGAAGGGTTCTTCAATCACCTTCCAGAATTCCCACCACCACTGCAGCATTCTCTCATGTTGCTCCCATTTTAGTAGTAAAATATCTTCAAAAAGGGGAAATTATGTGAATAAATAGAGTGTGAACATGAATATGAATGAAACACACCAACATCAAATTCCTCTTCCTTGGGATAGTTCGTGTCTGGATCATGTAGAAAGGCAGAAGACGAGTTACACACAGGATACTTTCACCCTAAGTTTAGAATCCTTTATCACTAAATCTGAAACAAAGGGATACTTACTGCTTAGCTGTTCCCCAAATCAACTGGACAACTCTTGTTGCATCCAGGAGACAGGGACTCATTGTCTAACCTATCAGGTCATCTATAGTGATGTCACTTCAAAGGATGCAAACCCAGTTGTGTTTGTAATGCTTCCTCCCTCTTTCCCTATCCATCCCTTTCTTCCTCTCTCGAGGTTAGCCCATAAAATGAGGACAGTGGGGGATTGGAAGAAATGGAACAAGGCAAAAAGGATCTAGAGAGACTCAAATAATTTGCTCCATATTCCTTTTTGAACCTGACTGGAAAGGACAACAGAAGCATGGATGACTCCAATGTTATAACAAATAAGATTATGACCTCACTTCCTGCCTCAACTATTTCCCTTTGGGGTAAATCTTATGAAAATCACTTTTGTTTAGGGGTGTTTAACAGGAGAGGTTGCCTTTCTTACATATACCTGCTTTCCTCCAAACAACCTTATGATGTGAGTACTGTCAGTATTATTATGCCCATTTTGCAAATGAGGAAACTGAGGCTCAGAAAGGTTAAGTGACTTGTTGACAGTCACACAGCTTGTTAGTGAGCAGTGGGATCAGTCCTAGAATCTAGATCTTGTGATTCCAAGTTTCATTTTCATTCTACTAGATGACTAGAGGATGGACAGATCAAAGTGAATTGGAACAATTGATTGATTGGCAAAGGCTTCATGGAGAAGCTGGCACTTGAGATGGATCTTTTGAAGGATTAGTAGAATTTATGTAGGTGGCAAGGTAGGTTGAGGACATTCCAAGATAGCAGAATCATACAAATATGGAGGTGGAAGCAACATGGCATTTGCTTGGGATGATGAACACTAATATTGCACCCACTATTTTCTCTAGTTAGTGACTGTGATTGTTACTGGACTGTCAATCACCACATCCAGCTTGGCTGGAAATAAAAGGTTGTACTGAGGAAGAATGCTAGATGATTGGTTGCATAAACTCAAGCTATGGACAATCTGGAATATCTGACTAAGAAGTCTGTGCTTTTATGTGCAATGAGAAGCTACTGAAGATTACTGACAAGAGGAACTACATAATAGTGATGGAAAATCCCAAGAAATGAAAGGAACTCAAGGGGTTATCTGGTCTAACCCTCTCCCAGAAGCATAAAGCCTTTTTTTCACTCTAGACAAGTCATCAATCTAGTATTATAGTATCATCAATTTAGTATTCTGGACAGC